TGGATCTATCCTGTACCCATTGGGCCTAGACTGTGATATCCTGTACCCATTGCATCTAGTTATCCTGTACCATTAGATCTAGACTGTGATATCCTGTACCCATTGGCGATAGACTGTGATATCCTGTACCCATTGGCGATAGACTGTGATATCCTGTACCCATTGGATCTAGATATCCTGTCCCTACTTAACCTGGAAACCATTCTACCCATAGGAAAATAGATTAGATAATTCCACCAGGAAAAATAATAGAAACCATTAATTCAACTCACTCCAGTTCCTCTACCAAGAAAACAACAGAGTTCGTAAGAAAAAGACTTTGTAGATGAGCCGGCTATCTGAGTCTGACGATAGGTGAAGTCTATTATAATAGGCTGTGTCGCAAGATTTTCTCGTAGTCTTCAGGTGCTATCTTCACCTGCTATCTTCAGCTGCTGTCTTCAGCTGCTGTCTTCGCCTGCTATCTTCACTTGCTATCTTCAGCTGCTATCTTCAGTTACTGTCTTCAGTTGCTATCTTCACCTGCTGTCTTCAGTTGTTGTGTTCAGCTGCTATCTTCACCTTCTTTCTTCACCTATCCTCACCTGCTATCTTCACCTATCTTCACTTGCCTTGTCGTAACTCTGAGACAGCCGGAGCCCGCAGTTCGCGTGGTGGTTGGTCTTTAGAGCGCTTGTGGATTGTCTCAGGGTCCATAAGGTATGTTTTGCTATCCCTTGGGGCCACTGTCGACCCTCGACCCAGTTACCTGCTTCGCTATCCTTCTCTCTGTCCGTCTCTGCCCGTCCCTTGCTCATAGAGTCGGTGGCTGAGTGGACAGAACACTGGATGCGTGATCCTGTGGTCACGGGTTTGATCCCAAGCGCCAGTGTGAAACAATGAGCAGAGTTTCTTTCACCTTGATGGCCCTGTTAGCTAGCAGTAAAATAGGTACCTGGGAGTTAGTTAGCTGTCACGGGTTGCTTCCTGGGGGTGGAGGCCTGGTCGAGGACCGGGTCGCGGGGACACTAGATCTCAAGATAACCTCAAGATAGTACTAAAAGTACTAGTAAGTACTTCGTAAAGTACAGGAGGTGAAGATAGTATTCCTGTATTCCTTAAAAATCCTTATCCTGACCCCTTCCCAGTGCTGTAATCTGCTTGGCTTGGCGCTTTCCCCTGATAGGTCCCTTCTATTATGTATCCCATACGAAAAATAGACATATAGCAGTATATGTATTTTCGTGGACACATCCGCCATGTGTATACAGTACAAGGAATACATATTCTTTATACATTGATGATGTGTTGAAAACAGTTACGCAAGCACTTACGAAACCTGTCCATCTTTTCTCAATCTTTAGCGGCTTTGTTTACAATTATTAAACAGTTAATGAGCTCCGAAGCACCAGGAGGCTGTTTATAACAATAACAACAGTTGATTGGCAAGTTTTCATGCTTGTAAACTGTTTAATAAATGTAACCAAAGCCGTCAAAGATTGAGGAAAGATGTACACGTTCGTAAGTGCTTGCGTAACCGCTTCGTGAATCTTGGCCCCAGGTTGGTAAGTGCTTGCGTAACTGCTTCGTGAATTTGGCCACAGGTTCGTAAATGCTTGCGTAACTGCTTCGTGAATCTGGCCCCTGGTTCGTAAGTGCTTGCGTAACTGCTTCGTGAATCTGGCCCCAGGTTCGTAAGTGCTTGCATAACTACTTTGTGAATCTGGCCCCAGGTTCGTTAGTGCTTGCATAACTGCTTCGGGAATCTGGCCCCAGGTTCGTAAATGCTTGCGTAACTACTTCGTGAATCTGGCCCCAGGTTCGTAAATGCTTGCGTAACTGCTTCGTGAATCTGGCCCCAGGTTCGTAAATGCTTGCGTAACTGCTTCGTGAATTTGGCCACAGGTTCGTAAATGCTTGCGTAACTGCTTCGTGAATCTGGCCCCTGGTTCGTAAGTGCTTGCGTAACTGCTTCGTGAATCTGGCCCCTCGAATTATGAAGTTAGTGACTAACTTTGTTAAGCAATAATTTATCCTATTTTACCCCCCTCCCTCACCCCAGTACCCCCCCCTCCAGTTACAGCCCCGCTCCTGTGCCAGGTCAGTCCACTACGGGATCGCCATAGGCCGTGCTACTTTGAACTTTGTGTTCCCAGTAGCTGAATCTAAAACAACATCAAACGCTCCCTCTCTACCTCAGCTTTCCTGTTCGTGTGCGTCTGTTTACCGAAAGTTCCAAGTAGCACGGGCTATGGCGAGCCCGTAGTGACTTTAAAATGAAGAATTATGATATATTTACTCACTATAATGTTGGTGCTGAATGTACAACATGAAAAAATATATTTTTACTCTGAAATAATATATTCTTATAACGAAATTCGGTCCATTAATTACGCAAAGCCATAACATTGTCGCTCGGATCGTCGGCTTCCTGTGGCGTCACCTGCTGCGTAGACTTGTCTAATTTCGTTATAAAATTATATTTTTTCAGGGTAAAATATATATTTTTCTTCGTGTTCTTCATTTAACATCAACATTATAGGGAGTAATTATATCATAGTTGTTCGTTATCTTAGGTAATGCTTGGAAACTTTGGGTAATTAGTCGGGGGAGTTTCTGTGCCATAAGTGAAAGATGACATCTATTGAGTAGTTAATATTTGAGTCTATTATAATAGACTGTGTCGCAAGATTTTCTCGTAGTCTTCAGGTGCTATCTTCACCTGCTATCTTCAGCTGCTGTCTTCAGCTGCTGTCTTCGCCTGCTATCTTCACTTGCTATCTTCAGCTGCTATCTTCAGTTACTGTCTTCAGTTGCTATCTTCACCTGCTGTCTTCAGTTGCTGTGTTCAGCTGCTATCTTCACCTGCTATCTTTACCTTCTTTCTTCACCTATCCTCACCTGCTATCTTCACCTATCTTCACCTATCTTCACCTATCTTCACCTGCTATCCTCACCTGCTATCTTCACCTGCTATCCTCACCTGCTATCTTCACCTGCTATCCTCACCTGCTATCTTCAACTTTCTTCACCTGCTATCCTCACCTGCTATCTTCACCTGCTATCCTCACCTGCTATCTTCACTTTCTTCACCTGCTATCCTCACCTGCTATCTTCAACTTTCTTCACCTGCTATCCTCACCTGCTATCTTCACCTCCTATCCTCACCTGCTATCTTCAACTTTCTTCACCTGCTATCCTCACCTGCTATCTTCACCTGCTATCTTCAACTTTCTTCACCAGCTATCCTCACCTGCTATCTTCAACTTTCTTCACCTGCTATCCTCACCTGCTATCTTCACCTGCTATCCTCACCTGCTATCTTCAACTTTCTTCACCTGCTATCTTCAACTTTCTTCACCTGCTATCCTCACCTGCTATCTTCACCTGCTATCCTCACCTGCTATCTTCACCTGCTATCTTCACCTGCTATCTTCACCTGCTATCCTCACCTGCTATCTTCAGCAGGTGTTTCTCACTTGTATAAACATAATTAGTCACGCTGTTAACAGCCCCTTGTGTGGAGACCAATCAGTTCTCAATGTCGGGGTTCAATAAGAACTATGACAATAATTTCTTCTAGATGGTGTGTGGGTTGCTTAGTGGTTAGTGCATTTGTTTGTTGTTGCTTAGTGGTTTGTGTATTGGTTTGTTGTTGCTTAGTGGTTTGTGTATTGGTTTGTTGTTGCTTAGTGGTTTGTGTATTGGTTTGTTGTTGCTTAGTGGTTTGTGTATTGGTTTGTTGTTGCTTAGTGGTTTGTGTATTGGTTTGTTGTGTCTAGTAGGCTGATTGGTTTGTTGTGTCTAGTAGGCTGATTGGTATGTTGTGTCTAGTAGGCTGATTGGTATGTTGTGTCTAGTAGGCTGATTGGTTTGTTGTGTCTAGTAGGCTGATTGGTTTGTTGTGTCTAGTAGGCTGATTGGTTTGTTGTGTCTAGTAGGCTGATTGGTTTGTTGTGTCTAGTAGGCTGATTGGTTTGTTGTGTCTAGTAGGCTGATTGGTTTGTTGTGTCTAGTAGGCTGATTGGTTTGTTGTGTCTAGTAGGCTGATTGGTTTGTTGTGTCTAGTAGGCTGATTGGTTTCTTGTGTCTAGTAGGCTGATTGGTTTCTTGTGTCTAGTAGGCTGATTGGTTTTCTTTCTTGTGTCTAGTAGGCTGATTGGTTTGTTGTGTCTAGTAGGCTGATTGGTTTGTTGTGTCTAGTAGGCTGATTGGTTTGTTGTGTCTAGTAGGCTGATTGGTTTCTTGTGTCTAGTAGGCTGATTGGTTTGTTGTGTCTAGTAGGCTGATTGGTTTGTTGTGTCTAGTAGGCTGATTGGTTTCTTGTGTCTAGTAGGCTGATTGGTTTCTTGTGTCTAGTAGCTGATTGGTTTGTTGTGTCTAGTAGGCTGATTGGTTTGTTGTGTCTAGTAGGCTGATTGGTTTGTGGTTGGTCAATTTTTGTCTTAGAATAGCTATGGCAGTATTAAAGAGCAGGGTTAAGTAATTGGGAGAGAGAGAGAGAGAGAGAGAGAGAGAGAGAGAAAGAGAGAGAGAAAGAGAGAGAGAGAGAGAGAGAGAGAGAGAGAGAGAGAGAGAGAGAGAGAAAGAGACAGAGAAAGAGACAGAGACAGAGAAAGAGAGAGAGAGAGAGAGAGAGAGAGAGAGAGAGGGGAGAGAGAGAGAGAGAGAGAGAGAGAGAGAGAGACAGAGACAGAGAGAGAGAAAGAGAGAGAGAGAGAGAGAGAGAGAGAGAGAGAGAGAGAGAGAGAGAGAGAGAGAGAGAGAGAGAGAGAGAGAGAGAGAGAGAGAGACATTATACAGGTCAGTGAAAAAAAGTGATTAGGTAATCAGGAAACTGTCTGAGGAGAGATTGGTCAAACAAGTTGTGTTTGGGATAGTCTAATTGACCCGAATCATAGTTAATTGGGCTGTTAGTATCTCAGGGTCACTGATGGGGTCGTCTGGTGTGTTTTGGTGTTTTTCTAGGTAACGACACGGAATGTTTTGGGCAATGCTGAGGAGCTTAGGAGTGAAGCGGT